GGTGGGTGAGGATCAAATTGTTTGTTTGCATAGTCACCTTTGAATTTAACATGCAATCAAGCACCATTAGCAAAAAGTCTCTCAGTCATTTGGTAACTAGAAAAACCAGAGGTACTTCTAATGTTACAAGAAAGTTTTGGAATTCAACTTCTTTGCCGGAGCCTTTTTAGTTAATTTTTTTCAGCAAAGAATCAATATGGGATCCAATCTTGAATAAACTAATTTTTGGACATGATAGACTTTCATGAAAGTAGAAAGAGCATCGTAGACAAGAACATGGGGACAGATAATTTTGACAAAAGCTGCTTCATTGATTATTACAGTGCAAAGATGGGAAGGTGGGGGGGACTGATCCTATCACTGAAAATACTTTTGAGGTAAGGACAACAAAATGTAGAATTTTCATGTTTCTCAATGTATTAAGTAATAATTTAAATAAAATAAAACTGTATCATGATTGGTGAAGTATCAATTAATGGAACACAGTTGTTCAAAAACTGCTGGAATTCATTTTTTCAATTTTGGAATTTTTAGTTTCTGATACTTTTCAAGGTTAAAGGCATCCACTGTTGTGATAAAAATATCTATTTTTTGGGTTTTAACCCCTATTGGAGGAGAAAAACCATGCCCCATTTGCCAATTCTGAAAGCTGTCCAAAAACCGCTAATTTACGTCTGTCTTTAGTGGTGTGAGATTAGATTAAAATAATCTGAAGAATAAATATCAACTTAGAATCATGGATACTTTATACTTTGCTTTATGTTAATTTTTGAGTAACTTTGTACTCAATAATCTGCGTCTTCGATTCTTCAAACTGACTACACATGAATTGGGCGAAAACCGCTAATGTCCAAGTTATTCTTGGTACCTCCATCAAGGAACTTCTTTTAACTGCCACAATTGTTCAGGGTTTTAGTTTTATCAATTTTACTTGAATAATATTCTTACATTTCAATCTCTTTTGGATGAATTTTGAAGAAGTCAAACAATTTTAAAACTTGGAGATTTTTAAATATCATGTGAAAACCACTAATGTCCGGTGTCCTTTGTTTTTAATTACACCTTCATAGCTAGAATACATTTAGAGATCCTTTCCTACAATTCCAATCCTGTAATAATTGGCCTTTATACAATTTTTGATCCTATAATCAAAAGATATAAGCATTTTTAGGAAGTTTTCTCGGAATTAGAAAGAAAAATGGACAAGAGCAGTTTTTATACGCCGCTATTCAATTACGGAGGAGCATAAGCGTAAGCAAGGAAACTTCACCAACAGTAAGAATTCTAAGTTACAACAAAATACACTGGCTTATGATTGGTCAAAAGCTCGACCAAAGAGAGATTTCCAAAGAAATGGTAAAAAATCATGCCCTTTGATTAGTCTAAAAAGTGTGATGCTTTTCAACTGATCAAGAGGCCCAGGAGTCGTGCGACTGTAAAATTAAGGGGAAAGAGGTCCATAAATCATGAGAAAAAGATCCTCATTCTTAAGCAATCATGTCATCCTCAAAAACAATATTTTGAGATGCTGTTTCCATAATAAGATGTAAACTTGTGAAAACTCAATCTTCTGGCAAAAGGAAGAAAATAAAAAAAATCTGAACCTCTGATGACTTCATAAATTATTTTTCATGTTTTAGACGTACTTGATCGCCAAACGTCCGTAATAATAATAATTAATAATAAAAATCAGTCAACATAATCCTGTACAAAATTTTACACGCAATACACCTACTAACAAAAATCAGCGTTACCGATCGGGCAATCCTCCACAATTAGGAGCAGGACGGTACAAGATGTTAGGAGAGGGAATTTGATGGTGAAGAATTGTTACTAGATTGGCGCTGTTGAGAAATGGAATTTTGTAGAACGCACGGAGTTAGCCACTCCCCAGGTAGACATCGCTGAAGAAATGGAACCCATGTACTAAAGTATGCCAAGCGATTCACCCATGATGGTATGTCTTGACCGCAAAGAATCTGTGACAAAAACAAACAAAAATTGGTTCTGTAATTGGTTGTTATTGATTATCCTTCTTACACACTAGAACAGAATAAGAACCTAGACATTACTATTTCACCCATCAATCATTACAAAACATGGTAGAGGACAGGCTCATTCTCAGATGGTATATTCACATTGCAGATTAACAGAATGGTGTCAAATGGAACAGAGGACACTAGCTGAAACAGGCGGATATATTGTGCCAGTTTTTGTTGAATAATGTTGAGGATAGCAGCAGCTGAGCTAAAATTTCTCTCCACAAATTTGATTCAATTTTAGAACCTTTCATCAGAGGCAAAATTTTTTAAGTTCTAAGGCCCATCAAAATCAAAATTTACAGCAGCCTGTACACAAATAATATCAAAGCAGGGCAAGGAAACGTTTGTTTTTTGGTCTTTTCTCCTCTTGCCATTTCTTGATATCAGATAATGCACATAGATACAATGCAGATATTAGAAAAATAATAACATGAATTGCAGATTTGCTCATAACTGATCATAAGAAATTCTAGCCTGGGATTCTTTCCTCCATTTAAATGACTGCACTCATTAGTTCTGCCACCCCAAGAATTCCTCAAAAATCTTGATAACACTGCCATAGTGTGATCTATTGAAAAAATAAAAATGAGTGAAAGAGTTGCCTTGCTTTCCTTTTCTTTTCTTTCTGTCTTCCACTGTTACCCACAGTAAGAGCACTGGTATTTGTCAAGTTCATGTAAGAGTGAAATAGTACTTACTTGCACTAAATCTGAGGAGAAATTGTTACAATTTTTGTTCATGACATGGTATCGATCACCACGATACTCTTTGCCCAGTTCGTAAATTATTCGCTTTACGTCTGCTTCGGTGAAGTCGGTGTGACCGACAACGACACTTTCCCTGAAAAACAAAAAAGCAATCAGACTTAGGATTAATATTGATACTATAGAATCATTCAAGATCTAATCAATTTCGATTATTTAACGATGCTCTCTGAATTCAGTTGGGATCATTTTCCAAGGAGTTGGAGGTTTGTCAAGGTAAAGCCTAAAAATTTAAATTTGAAGTAGGTTCAGTCTCTGATTTAGAAATGAATGGATGAAGAAAATTGAAACGTATACTAAGAGAGGTTGAGGTAAACCTCCTAGGGGGTTTTTGAAATAAATGGGTGGAGGAGGCCCCCTTTTGATGTTAATCACCAAACTATGTTCAACGGACAGCCTGAAATGAGAAACATATCAATGTAAAGGAAATCAAAATACATTTATATTTAAACTCCTACTCTTAAACAAATTTCTCATAAAAAAAAAAAAAAAAAAAAAAAAAAAAATAAGATGTTGCCTAAGCTCCTGACGTAAGGATAGAATATGAGGAGCTAAAATTTGAGGCCTCGAATAACGTTTATTACCAGGGAAGGAGATTTCATACTCACTTAAATCTGAACTGTTCTCCCAACTCGTTGCAGTCTCTTGGATTAATATTGAAAACTCCGGTAAAAGGGTAAGGATGTCCACCATACGCGTACTCTGAAAAACATTAATATTTTGGTAAAGGGCAGAGATGCAATGAATAGAAGACATGAGTCAAAGCCTGAAAGCCTGCGTGTATCTTATCACACTTTACACATTGGATACGTATTCAAAAGAACAGGGGTGAATGTTCTACACCTTTCTCTACTTCTTACTTTTTCTACTTACTTCTTCTCTGACTTTTTAGGGATTTTGGGCCTAAAAGTGCTTTTAATAGAACACATCTGGGGCAAAATTTGAACTCTCCTAATTGGGCAAATGAAAGCAATTGAAGTGTTTGAAAAGTTTCATGTGAAATGAAAATTCTGTGCCTTGAAGCAAAATTTCCTAACTTTTTAAGATCTTGTTACCTTAAATTACATTTGTATATCCCACAGAGAGGACACATGATTTGATGAGTGAAGATTTTTTTGAAAAAAAATAAAAATAAAAAAAAATAAATAAAAAAAAAAAAAAATGGCACACAGTTTCTTACCTTGCCCATAGATTTCAACTCCTGAGTGGAAGACTCCTAATCCAACTGGTGTCGTGTACTGGTTGAACCAATACTGTGAAAAAAAAAAGAACCATGACAGCTGTTTACTTTGCCATTCAGATAAATAAATAATCAGGTAGGTAATAAATAGTGATTCAGTGGGTACAGTTTGCAGATGAGTTGCTTCGTTAGAATTAAATTAACCATTCAATGCCATTGGATTTTTTTGATTTGTTGTGGTTGAACAACAAATCAAACTCAGCAAACTAGTGCACATCTTCAACAAGAATACCCTAGTCAAGTCACCAATAAATATGCAAATTATCTAAGGTTTAATAACATTAACTTGTACTTAAACTTGAAAAACTCCCTTTGGATTAGACATGAAATTGAAGTGAGGTGCAGTTTTTACACCCCCCCCCCCTCAAGATTTTGAAGTGAATAATAGAGAATTCGCAGGTGTCTGAAATTTGATGAGTTTCGTGTTTAAGTGAAAACTGTTGAGTAAACTGAACACGAGGATACCCTTGGTCCATAAATTGAATAATTAATGGAGAAGATAAGACAAAATGATCTAATCTGGAGCTAAAATACATGTTTAAATGGGAAATGCCGCCAGATGACGTCACTAGGCGGTGCATTTTCTCACTTGTAAATCCATTTTAATAACATTTCCTTTAGGTATCAGAAAAAAATTATAAAAAATACTGTGAAATCAGCTTTTTAAGCACTTTCAGATGAAGCAATAAAAAATTTACTTGCAAATTCTCCATTTAATCTGAACAGAAGTACCAAAATTTTAAATTCAGCACTGAAAAAGTCTTCAGGTTTTTTTTGTTTAAGGGGCCAGAACTCTACAGTCAGTAGCAAAAGCTTTGGACAAAGAAAACGAATGGAAAATGGTGTGATCCTATTTGTTGAAACAGTTGTTATACACGAAGGGGGAAAATGGTAGACTAACAATAAAATCTCTGCTGGATTGATGTTAGTTAGTCAATTACTTGACTCATTTGTTCATTGCAACTGCACCCGTTATAACCTATAAGACCCTTCTTCTTCTTTGTCTGTTGTTTTGTCTATAACTTCAACTATCAGCCTGCGGTAGAACCAAAAATTCACAAGGCTCAATTTGTTACCTTGCCGATAGCTGGTAACATTTCACTATTTTGGAAGATGATCAATACCTAGTTGCTTTTTGCTAGTCCAAATTGGCAAATTCATTTCATGCAGTGCATGTTTCATAAATTTTTTCTTTGACCTTTGAAGTATAATTGTTGTAAATTTTGTGCAAAAATGTCTGGTGGTATACTCTAGGATTAAGAAAAATGATTTAGAGATTTTTAATTACTGCAGCAAGATACAAGTTTCCATAGCCTACTCCCATTTTTCAGTCTTAACAATGAGAACTCACCATGTCATAGACATTGAGAATCACAGGCTCTTGAGACATAGTTGTAAGGAGCTCTTCACTGTCACAGGCATACACCATACAACCTCTACCACAACCTGAAAAATAAACATCTTGAATCAGATAAAACTTGAGACAAAGTTATCAGTGTCACTGAGCCACTATCAGTTTGAATTTCATTCTTGTCTTGGATTGTTGATTATAGCTGAGTGTAGTCTTTAAAAAGTGCATGTTGAAGTATCATGAAAGACCATTCTTTTGGAACAGCAGAACTTCCAAAGCACACAGCAAATTTCTCTTCGATCATACCAACATGGTACTGGAAAAAATTACTGATTTACCTTGATAACATTGCTGTAATCAGAAATTTCCCTACATGCCAAGATGAGATATGTATATTGACGACGTAAGTCTGAAATCACAAACCTCGTTTGCAGTGTCTGAAAATCTCTACCTCTATGTTATATTTTTGAAGGAGAAGAAATTGACATCATTCCTTGAAGTTTTTTCAGAATTTTCTTCGCACAGATAAGAAAAATCATGGCAGTTTTAAAGAATTGCTGTTGAGTAGTTTTCTGTTTAAAAACTTAAGTATGACAGGAAGTCTGCGACATCGCAAACCAAGTTATGTGATCGCCGACTTACACTGTTGATGCCCGTTGACCTGTAAAATGCTTTAAAATGCTTGTGACAATTTTATTTGTGAACTGTTGCTTCACTTTTTCAGAATGTATTTTGACCTTTACTTTAATGTGATGGGAACAGCTCTGAGATTCACAAAATTTAAGAAGCCCTTGAGATTGATGGTAGCAATAATGACCGAGGTATCGACACACACCCCCCCCCATACCTATGCCTTAAAAGAACCAATTATTTTCTATTCACACTTACTGCATAGGGAGTACGACGCTATGTCAGACTATTTACCTACCTTGTTCAAAGCTACAGTACTGCCGAAAAAAATTCCCATCCCAACCATCTATTCATAATTTCTGTTCTTGCTCCAGACGAAACTTGCTTGAAACAAGCTGTGCCAACCTAGAGAGCTTCAGAGTACAAAATTCAAAGCTTAGGTACCATCAATTGTAGGTTTAAGTGCTGATGTTATGAAGCAAACCTACTTACGTTTGCTAATTGTCATTGTTAGATGAAAATTGCCCGATAGCAATACACTTACATTAATGATGCAAAAACCTTGGATGTAGGTAAAATGCTGCCTCACGGATCTGTTTGATACTAGAGAAAGTAAGGAGGGGTGTAAGTAAGAGCCAAAATTCTGCTGCGGCTGGTAGAATGTTCTGACAATGGAGAACTGGAGACTCAATGAAACTAATGGCCCTCAGTGAGAACATTTATTTTTGAGAAGAAATAAACATAGGGAGCATAGACGCATTGTGCATCTTAAGATTTCTAAACGAGGGCACCATTGTGAGTTAATTGAAATAATTAATATGGAAAAGAACTGGTACTAACCTAGACTCCTCAAGTTGGCTAAAAACATAACATAACTAAAGTAATGAAAAATGGACCACACAGAGTTTCCGAATTGAAGTGCAAGGAAAGAGTTACTTTAGATTGGTGGAGAAAGAACTAAACGATTGACAGACAAGAAAAATGTCAAACTTGGAAGGTAAACACTGGACTTGTTGTGGTAAATTTACGACCAACAAAAATTATTGCATTGTTGCAAATTTGCAGATTCTTATTGTTCGAAGTTCTACCGCAGCGGAAGCACAGCGCTGTAATCGCTCGGAAAGCCAAATGGCGCTTAAATCCCAGTATTTCAAAATGACGCGCTTTTTCAGTGGGTGCGCTCAACCCTTAGATGCCCAAAACTTTCTTTTCAACGCAAAGTCTCAAAACGGATTGACCTGTATTTCGAAACGTTGAACTTGATAATTTTAAAAGTATTATCTATGTTATTTCGAAGATAAGAAATAATTTTCTGGGAACTTTCACCTGAATGGTAACATACCGGCGCCCCTCTCCCCCTCATCTGACATACTTAACTCCTTCAGCAGAAACAGTCGGGTTATTTGAACCGGCCTAAGATTTCCAGGGGTATGGTGTCAAAAAAAATTCCTTTATGCAACACAACTGTCGCCAAAATATTGATTTAGACTTCAGCCCTGCAAAAGGCGCTTGAGAAATACATAATATTTTTTTCTTTTTCCTTTGATTAATTTATTTTCGGTTTTCAAAATGATTCTTGATTTGAACACATCAAAGCATATTTACAGTGAACCTCGAATTAACTCTCCTCACATATACCAAAAATAAGTACCTACGCAGCGCAGGAAGTATCAAAAATAAAACGCAAGTTGTTAACAGTGCATAGCGCAGGTCCGCGCTCTCTACTACTAGTGAAGTGTCGCCTCTATTCGGGAGAAAATTAAAAACGAGGCCCAAAGACGTATTTCCTATCTTCGTCTGTGTCACTCCGATAGCCCTTTAAGCTTCACTATAAATAAGACATGGATTAAAATATACTACGTAGTATATTTTAATCCATGAAATAAGACGAATGGAAACTAACACGTTGTGGAAAGAGAGCAAAGGAGAGAAGGCCTTAGGCAAGGCTCGTTGATGACGGAGCAGAGATACAACTATTCGTGCTTGACGGATGTCCGTATTGCATCTGCAAAATTGAAGGCCCAATGGCGCGAGGCGTGAACTTCCAATGCTCCGCGCTCTTTACTGCTAGTGAGCACATTGGATTTTTTCTATTCTTTTATTTTTCTTTACTTGTCTTGTCAAATCTCTATTTTGTGCGCCTTCGTAACTTGCAATATTTTACTCGTACTACGGGTGCATCTTATAATCGAGTGTTCTATATAGCCTCTGTCACTCAATTCTAAGCGAACAAGAATTTTCAGCTCCTGCATCTTTCAAAAAGTAAATGCTTGTGAAACTCTGGCCCTCCGCTCTCTAAATGCACATGGAGAGTGGTCATTTCTCTGGACGATTTTATTGCCCAACTTCTACCTTTTTTTATTTAAAAAATAAAAAAAATATATATAAAAAAAATAAAAATAAAAATTGGAGAAACTTGTTAAGTATGGAAACTTATTATTTTCTTTACCAACTTTTTTGTCTCAACGGAGTTGTGCCAGGTTGAATTTCAGATCAAAACGAAAACGAAAGCTTTCTCAGATACTATCGAGACTACGTTTTAGCTGAGGACACAATGATTGATTGACAGAGTCTCTATTGCCAATTCGATAATTTAATGAACATGCATAGCTCATGTACACTTAATACTGAATTTTAATTTGTCGTTGTGCAACATTGGCCTGAATATCCGCAGTTGGG